AAAAACATTCAGCTTTGATATTAATGAGTTTTTTGGGTTCATTGAGAACATGGTTGTTGTTCAATAATAAAATTATTCCTCAAAAATACAACTTGCCTGATAATTCTGCACTCCCTGTATGTGGTTCTCATTTTTCTTAGGAACAAAAATCAGGTAAAAAAATCTGGTAATTCTTTGTTTTTACATTCATCGGGTCCCAATCAGCCCAAATATCAAAGAGAAATTAAAAATGCATGCCGTGAAAGAGTTCAGGTCTTAGGAGGTTAAAGAATTTTAACTCTGATCCTGGGGGAGCATATATATTAATAAAAGTAATCAGTGTACCCTCCAGGTATCCCTTTACTAGCACAAACCTCCCCTCCTGCTTGATATTAGAATTGCCACACCCCTTTTGGAGCCCCGAGGACAAGAAGGTGAATACTAATTAAATTTCCATTTCCTAAGTTTTTCATGCTCTAGCTGTGATAGGTAGGGTTCCTGTGAAATGCCAACTTCTTTTCCTTCTCTTTTTAATTTTGACATGATTTTGCTTCTTTTAATGTGTTTCCCCAAGCCATTTACATTGTATGACACTACTTTGCTTACGAGACTGTATTTTACAACATTATGTGATTTTAAGCTCTGTAAATAACAAGAAATCGAAAAGTACACTCCTGGGGAGAAAAAAACCCCAAACAAACAACACGTGTGAAAAAGAACACTATAAGGCAAAAACATACAATCACATTGACTCCCAAGAACAAAAACATTATATTAGTTGTAATTGGTGAGGGAAAAGCTCTTCTATCCACTTGTGGAAGAGTGCCCTCTTTAGCCCAAAGGCCAAAAGCACAATGGTCTGTAGAGTCCAGCTCACTACGCATATGAGTGACCCAACTTTAATCTACTTTTATATGCTCATGTTATGAAATTATCAAAATATATAACTAAAACATCTTTATCAATATAGTCTGTGATCTCAGTTACTCTTTTTTTTTTTTTTTTTTTTTTTTTTTTTTTAAATGATCTCAGTTACTCTTAAATCTCTATAGTCCTAAATTTACCTCCAATATGATGCTCCATCTCAAGTAGCCTAATTACCCACAGTCACACTGGTGCCTAAATGCCTGAAGACGCTCCTTGAAGCCCTGCTTTTGGATCATATTTCACTGTTTCTTCTTCGCACTTGTTTGCCAAGTCTGCTGTCTTATTTGGTCCAAGAGTGTAGCCCTGTCTTTCACGTCTACCGATAATCCTCTCTTCATTATATTTGTAGTCTCTTCATGCGCCGTGTTGTACATCACTGCTCCATCACTGTAGTACACTCTCAGCCTGGGGGGGAAAGGGGACTGAAAGCGGATGTTATTGTCCCAAAGCACCTTCTTCGTTGCCACATATTCTCTTCTTCTTCATTGTATCTCCGGAGCATAGTCATTGTCTAAATGTATCCTGGGGCTTGGAAAATAAAGCACCCTAGCCTGCCAAGCCTTCTTGAGAATATCCTCCTTGGTACGATAACTTGCGAATTTCACAACAAATGAGCGTGGCAGGGTTCCGTCCCAGTACTGTCTCAGCAACAGTACTGGGAGCTCTTTCAATCCCCAGTGCGGGGGGAGAAGAGAGACCCAATGTCTTTTCCAAAAAAGTCTCCGATGGAAATGTGTCCTTCCCCTTCCTTCACGACGTATATTCTGAGATTCTTGCGAAATGAACATTACTCTAGATCCATCAGCTTTGTCTCATATCGCTAATTCCATTAGCAACTCCTCCAAAACCTAGATTCAAGTTCTCCACTATGCATCCATCTGCTTCATCAAGTCTTTTGCCGATGTCATTCACATCCTCCCTTATGGCATTAAACTACTCATTTGTGTCTTTTCTGAAAGCACGCAGTTCTTTTAATATCATATCCCTAGTAGGGGGGGAGGTCTTTCACATTAGCATTTGCATCAGGTTGCTGCTCTTCTTCCATATTACTACTAGCTTGGGATGAGGCGTCTTATCCCACTTCTCTACGTTCACTTATGTTCTTTTTCTTGAGTTTTCTGGGCATTTTTGTTTTGGAAAAAGGTATCCAGCACTTACAGTCCAAGTTTTTTAGGTTTCAAGTTAGATAAGTTGGGGAAAAGAGTAATAAAGTTGGGAGTGTTTACTCTACACAGCCATCACTCGGCCGACAGACCGGAAGTCTCATGGTCTGGCTTTTAACACGCTTTGACCAAAACATTTTGGTTTTAACAGTTGTAGTTGTTGTTTATATTGACCTATGTCGTCTACTTCTATAAATAAATTTGACCTTGACCTTAACCTTCTTATGGCTTCTGACAGTGCTCTTGTGCTTGTGCTTGTCCAGCTAGATCTTGGTACTGGTACTTGCTTTCACTGATCTGTGAAAAGCACAGGGTGCCAGTGGAGGGCCTGCCAGTTCTGGTATTCTATGGGAAATGCCAATTGGGTCCCACAATCTGGCCAGTGAGCCAAGGGGCCATTTCATCAGGCCCTCAGGTCACCCTCATGAAGTCTGTTTCTGATTGTTTTTATCAGAGAAAATTATAACAGTGGTCAACTGGAAGTCATTTTGTGGGGCCCTGACATTGTTTATTCTGTTCTTCCTCAATTATACTTCTTTATGACACAAAACAAACTGGAAATGCATACTTCTTAAACCTCTCCTTTAAGTGATGGATAAGTTTAAATCTTAGTAATATGCTTAAGGGAGCACATGCTTGTTGACAACAACTATAATTTTTGCAAAGTCACAGTTAGTACCAGATCATTCTTATTTGCTGTCATTTCATGATTGTCTCAGAAATTGCATATTCATCTGAATCATAGGAATACCATCTTAAACATGAGTGTAGCAGGGGTCTGGTCTGTGGCTCTGCTGCAGTGGAGGGGTGGTGCATTGGAATGGTTTTCATCAGGCTATTTTACCGGAGTGCACACGGCTATTGCTTTGTATTAGTTCTGATGGATTATGCAAGGGGATACCTGGAAGCAGTGCTGCTGCTCACCATTTCTGCAATGAATGTAGCGCAAGCGCTGTTTCAGGTAATCTTGTGATAATGACTGACCAGGGCATGTCGTTCATGTCTTGCACACTGGAAGAGCTGTATGAATTACTGGGCATTAAATCTATTCGGACCAGCATCTACCACTCTCAGACTGATAGGGTGGTGAAGCGGCTGGATAAGACTTTAAAATTCAAAATTTCATTCATGAGGATGAATGCAATTGGGATTGCTGGTTAGACCCTCTGTTGTTTTGGAGTGCAAGAGGTGCCCCAGGCCTTCACAGAATTTTCTCCACGGGGGATGTTGGACCTGATTAAAGTGGAGGAGCCATACAAATATATAGAATAGAATAGAATAGAATAGAATAATCAAAGTTGAACGCGCATGGGCAGAAATGTTGAGAGTGCAAGCAACACAATGCGAGCAAGCGCAAATGCAAAAACTGAGCGAGAGGAGCTGCTATTGTGTGTGTGTGTATGGATAACAGCAAACACTGAAATACATTTTTTGCACACAGCAATGAATTTTTTCACTCAAATTTAGCTTTTCTTCGCTCAAAATAAATTTCTTCTCAAAATGCAACACCTGCAAAATTTTTTTATGTGCGCTCAGAATAGTGGCACAAAAATAACGCCGTAGACTCTCCCTATTTTCAGTGACGCAGAGGCTCGAGAGAGTGGCTGAGTACAGAGTTGAGTGGAGAAGCAGCTGAAAAGCTGATCTCCCAACATAAAGAATAAAAAGGATGTATTGTGCAAATAGAGCACAACAAAACTGTCACCTGAGGCTACATGGGGTCCATTCATTTCACAATGAGATTGAATTTACATGCGAAAGTAAAAGGTATTTGTTGTCTCTTACCTCATCTGTGACCTGACCTCCAAAGGTAACCCAAGTTCCTGCAAAAGAATAAAAACTTTACACTTTCTTTGTTTGTGTGTGTGTGTGTGTGTGTGTGTGTGTGTGTGTGTGTGTGTGTGTGTGTGTGTGTGTGTGTGTGTGTGTGTGGCACATGTTGTAGCAGACCTGGCCTCCAAAGTTCCAGTAACATAAAAATAAAATATCAAAATTTCTGTGTGTGTGTGTGCAAACACATGTTTTAGCAGACATTATGCAATACCTTTTATTTGCTCTAAACATTGGACAAAATTCTGATTGGGGGAACATGTTTAGGCTGTAAATATTACTACAACTTTGAAACATTTTTACATAAAAACAGAGTGTATAAAAGAAGATGAGTTGTCCTCCTAAGACAATAATATTTTGATATTTTATATTTTGATCCAATGGCTCCCAGTTTGTTCATATATACAATGGGTCTTCCTTAAGATACAAATATTTGTTGTAGAATTTTGTTTGGTGTCAGTAAACATTAAACATGCCACACCAAACTAGCAGACAGGGGTGTTCAACTAAAATTTAAAAGGGTCCTGTCAGGGTTCCTGGGTCGGTGACCCAGTGTTTTCAGTTTTGTTCATGTTCAGTTTATTTTTCCACTTCCATGTGCTCACTTCCTGCTTTTCCTGTGTCAGCTCGTCTTGTGTCATTAGCCAGATTATGTTCAGCTGTGTACCCACCGGTCTCTCATTATCATCCTCATCAGTCTGTGTATTTAAGCACTCTGTTTCTACCCGTTTACTGTTGTGTCATTGATGTTACGTTGTCCTTCCCGTGTGTTCCCTCAGTTCAGTCAGCCGTTCAGTTGTCCAGCCAGTCAGTGTCCGTTCACCCTCTGTTCACCCACTCCCTATAATAAACCTTCACCTACCTGCCAGTCCTGCGTTTGGGTTCCTTCTTCCTCGCCTCCACACAACGCCTGACAGAATGACACGACCCGTGCCACGAAGACACGATTGGAACCCAGCGGACTCGGACCTCTACGAGGGGCAGGAGGTAGCGCTCTCCTTGTGTGCGGAAAAGCTCAAGGAGAAACAGCGGCTCTTCACGGAGCGAGAGCACATCTTCGAGGGTACTCGCCTGGCTCTGGGCGGACCTCGGAGACACCACGTTCTCCCACCTGCTGCCTCACCTGCACTGGAGCATCTGCCGCGGAGAGTGGGCGTTTCGCGCCGCGCTTCGGCGGCTCCCTCTCTCGCGAGTCCGCTCCTCGCTCACACGTCACCTGCCTCATTCACCGGACCTTCAACCTCGCCACGGCACAGTGGCTCCGCCTCCCACCTCGGCTCAACAGAGGTTCCCGTGCCAGAGGCTCGGACGTGTACCCGGCCCGCTTCCTCCTCCCGGAGAAAGCGGCGCACACGCCGCCATAAAATGGACTATTTCCAGCAATTCCCGGTGGTGAGTTCCAGTGACTGTTTTCCACCCTCATTTGACTCTCCACTTAAAACCAATCATAAACCCATCTCTCATTCATGGGATGTTTCCCTCCTGGAGGATTCTGTGGACTGGGAAGATTTGTTCTGCTCTGCTCCCCCAAAGACTGTAAATAGTGGTGGCAGAAGGACCAGCATAATCCCTGAGAAACTTGGCCGATTCACCCACCCAGTCATTATTTCCACCCCTATCAGTCAGCCTACACCCAAACCTGTGCCAGCTCCCAGGATGAGGGCAGCTGTGACCCAGTCTACCTCCACACCTGCTTCTGTTTCTCGGGTGGGGGTGCCTGTCCCAGCACCCAGGCTGAGGGCAGCCAGAACCCAGCCAGACCTCCCTAGAGGCTTGGAAGAGCTAACCGGTTCACCTGCTACCTCACCACTTCATCCACCTCCTGACCCAGCCTTTCACGCCCTCGCACTATCCCTAGTTAGATTAGCTGAACTGTCCCCTGCCCAGGCACCAGCCTTACTAGCCCAAGCTGTAATTTTTATCTCCGTCACTAGCTCAGTCTGTAGCTCAGACATTAGCCACACCAACCTCAGCTCCGTCGTCAGCCTCGCCTACCTCTGTTCATCCCTTAGCATCTCCACTCCAGTCAGTTCCCTCACCTGCTGTTCAGCTTCCACTCCAGTCAGATCCCTCACCTGCTGTTCAGCTTCCACTCCAGTCAGTTCCCTCACCTGCTGTTCAGCTTCCACTCCAGTCAGTACCCTCACCTGCTGTTCAGCCTCCACTCCAGTCAGTTCCCTCACCTGCTGTTCAGCCTTCACTCCAGCCCCCTGTACTTCCGTCTCCTGTCCTCCAGTCCCCTCCAGTCAGTCCGT